TTCCCTTTTCCCCAACGAATTCCAGGTTAGATTCACACTAATAGGTTTAGGCCACGAAGGCCAAAGATCACTATTTCTAATATCTATACTCTAACAGTCAGGAATACTTACCACTAAACCACAACCATCAGGGTTCTCACTATCAAATTTCCCTACAGGGTTAGAGTCAAATCATAATTTTTGGCCATGAAGGCCTAGTTTCCCTTTTTCCCAAATAAATCCCTACGGTTAAAATTCTCAATAATCGATTTTAGGTCACGAAGGCCAAAAATCTCTTTTTCTCATTATTCACCTCAAAACTCTTAAACCTTTAAATCAACCTTAAATACACTGAAAGTCACACATGGAAAATTATGAAAGGCTATACTCCTCATACCTTAGTTGTCGATCAAAGCCTTCTCAATCTTTCAGTGAATCTCTCGAAGCTTCTGCCTCCAATCTTCTCCACAGAGCTCTGGCCTCAATACTTTTCACGGTTAACAAAATGAATCCTAATTTCCTTCAGAATTCCTTTTTGTCAAACCTAGTCTTGGGCCACACAATTGGGTTTTTCCCATAACACCCTTACTAACTCCTCTTAATGCCCAAATTACCCTTATTTCACTTATATTTATTTTAACTAATAATAATACTAATATTTCCATATTGTATACTATTAATTAAATAAATAATCCAAAAATACATAATTCCCAATAACCCACAAAGCCACCGAAAACCACCAAAATACGAATATTCTCAATTAAATAAATAAATTAAAATATTCTAATTAAATTTGGAATGTTACACATAATAGTTATTGCGTTAAACTACAATTTGGAATTCATCAAAACATCCCAGATCCCCCAGTTGACCTCGGTAAATGGCATCTAAAAGAGTTAATGATCAATGGGACTATGTCGACAGGAAGGATTTTGTAAAATCTGAATGTCGTAAATGAAGGAACCGCAACGCCCATGTCTTATGTGACCCGGTGATGGCAACCTCGTCTATACCAACTAGTAATTATATGGCTTGGTACAAATCGCTTTCAACTGCGATTGTCTCACTACTAGAAAATTCAGTTTTAGTGACTTAAAAATTTTGGTCACTCTAGTGACCGAATTAGCCACCAAAATTAGACATCATGTTAGTAAAATTTTAAAAGTCACTAAATTGGTCACTAAATAAAATTAGCCACCGAATTAGCGACTGATATTTTGTGACCATAATTTTCAGTCTCAAATAATCATTCTTATATAAATTAATTCATAAGAAATTCAGTGACCGAAATTTCGGTCACTAATATATTTTTTGTTTTTTTCATTATTAAGTTGTTTCCCACCCAATTTTCTTTTTTTATTTATTTTTTTAATTTTTTAGTCAAAATTTTACATTTTTATAGTTTTAACAAATAAAATATATATTTATATAAAAAATTAATTCATATAAATTTATTAATTTAGATAAAATATAATTTTAATGACAATTAGTGTAAGAATGTATTTAAATAATATTTGAAAGTTCTATTTCATTCATAATATATATATTTCAAATGTAAATTATACAAACAAAACCAAATTGTTTAGTGGACACCCGAAAGCCTCACAAAGGAAAGTGCATTAGTTTGATTCTTGTTAGAGACAAAACTTTTGTTTTATTTTAAATTTTTTAAACAATTGAAAATGGTCACTAAAATCGGTCACTAATTTCGATCACTAAAATCAGTCCCTAAATTCGTCTCTAAATGTTAGCGACTAGCACTTTTCAAATCGAATTTTGATAGTCGCATTATTGGTCGTTAAACGTTATAGTAACCAATTTTTAGGCTAATTCGGTCACTAAATGTGAATTTTTTCGTAGTGTCTCCGAAGAGAGGTACTAGACGACCCACGATAAACCACCTACACACAAGAAGCTTCAACGTCTAACCCACTAGAAAAGCCATGTTACTCACCCCTATCCAACAGAATTACCAACCCACTAACTATCCAAACATGCCAAACACCCAACCATAATACCAAGAACGTCCCTCATGTCATCTCCAACACACTGACTTCTATCAAAAAACCCAATATGGATATGTCTTCAGCACAACATCAAGATATAGCCAAAATGAGGGTACATCATACCATAGCCATAACGCCCAAACATCTTTCCATAGCCAAAACATTCAGAAATCATATCCTAGCCTACACACTCAAACATTCCTACAACCTTATGACTTTCAAACACCACTACCATTTCAATCTTTCACGAACTAATCCTTCACACCAATGTCCGCCTTCAATCGTCCAGGTCACACACCAATGACCCTTTCATCACATCCGAACTACTCTAGCATGGGTCGCACACTCGGTTTCAACACACAAGACCTCATGGAAATGCAATAATTCTTAGGGAACCATCTGAGAATGTTCTAGAGACTTCAACTCGTCAACCACCTGGTGTGAATCAACAACGAGGGGAACGAGTGCAACAAGTGAGGGTGCCTAGGGGATGTGGAACCGGTGGCTGGTATGACTAACCCGGTCGCCAATATTAATTTATGTAATAATGCTTTTAATTAATGATAATGTTATTTATTTTTGATAAATTTTTTTTACAAAATGCACCCTGTCTCTAGATGAATTGGCGACTCTCCTTTAAGAATAACATACAGTCGCCAATTGGATTGGAGACATCTCATGTTGTCTCCAATCCAATTGGCGACTCTCCTTTAAGAATAATACCTAGTCGCCAATGGGATTAGAGACACCTCATGTTGTCTCCAATCCAATTGGCGACTCCACTCATGTCGTAACAAGGAATCGCCAATTCACATGGCTCCTGCATGCAATCAGTACCTCAAACTGGTGTACTTTGGAAAATAATTTAAAATGTGAGGTATTTTGTAATATTTTTTTAAAAAAACTAGATTATTTTGGTAAAAAAAATCATTAGTTTGTGTACATATGAATGATACATCATCATATTAAGTGTCATACCATGAAAATTTAAACTAAAATTAAAAGAGGGATTAAAATCTTAAAAAAAATGAATTGCAGAAATTAAAAAAAACTTAAAAAAAAAAGATTAAATTGAAATTAAGTCTATTTATTAAAATATTATTTTTAATAAATTAATAGTTATATTAAAACATAAAACTGAATTAAAACTTATTCATTAGAATGAGTAAATCAAAATCAAACAATGAACTTAGAATCTCACTTCATTTTTCCCAAAATGTAAACCTAAATTCCAAATCACGTAACTAAAATTAAAATTGAAATAAACTCACAAATTGACTAAAGTAGTCAAGTCACTTGCATATAATAATTTGGGATATAATTTTAAACAGAGCTTAACAAAGTCAAAAGACCAACCTTGTTGAACAATTTAGTAACAGTCACTTGCATATAATAATTTGGGATATAATTTTAAATAGAACTTAACAAAATCAAAAGACCAACCTTGTTGAACAATTTGTGTTACCAAAATGTTAACCTCTGAGTTATCATCTTATCTAGGAACTCAAGATGCTTACGTTAAAAACAACCATGCACCATAAGGGAAGTCTAAGTATTTCTCTAGAATAAGAGTTTATTTGATACCTCTACTGCAGATGATTAAATTTATTTTACTCATCTTAGTGGATGCAGAGAAGAACATTTTGATTTACCAACATTCATTTAAGGTCAAAAAACATTGCAAAACGATTCAACTTATGAGAAATAATCATTGCTTGGAAGTTAAAAACCTTTGCAAAAAGAAGAACACCACAAACAAAATAATAAATACGATATAGGGAATTTATTACGAAATAAACAGACAAGTTTCTAATGACCTTTATCGATTGCCTTGATGATTATCTACGACAAAAATTTCACGAAAATAACGGGAGAGAGAGAGAGGCCTTGACATAAACCTCTGGTCGAAACAAAATTTGATAACAGACTCCCATTCGAAATATGGTATGATTTATTAATATTTTTAATAATTTAATTTATTTTAATAACTTAACAGTATTAAAATATGAGTTTAATTGGTATGTACCGAAAGTATAAAAATAATTTTACACTTCATCTAATAAGAATTTATCCATCTGTTATATTATACTATTAACTTAAAATTTTCAGTATATAAAATACATGAGAGTGATTGATTGAGAATATAATATAATTTTACAATATTAGTGCATTTCAATTAAATTCTTAAAATATAAAACTGAATTAAAACTTATTCATTAAAAGAGTAAATCAAAATCAAAGAATGAACCCAGAATCACAATCATTCTCCCCAAACTATAAACCTAAAATAGTGTCAGAATTTTCTTGTTTTGAATCGTGTTTTCTCAACATCATATTCATCTCCATCATTTTTTGAATCGTGTTTTCTCAACATCGTATTCATCTCCATCATTTTTTTATTGTGCTTGAAACCCACTTCACCAAAGCCTTTAATTGTGTTCGAATCCATGTTCTCCATCTTGTTGGTCTAAGTTCTGCCGTGTACAACCAGTAGAACATTAAGACGTATCTTGTTAATCTTATTAGAAAAAATAATATCTAGTTTTGTTTTCTCTATATAATATTGCAACTTCTGGTACCTGTTTTCAATTTTGCTTGTGGTCGCTATTTTGGTTATATTATGATTTGTTACTTTGAAATGACTCCAGATCTTGAGTTTTTTTGTTGCACATTAATGACTCAAATTTGAGCTTTTTTTTTGTTTCATTCTTTGTAATTAATTTTAGATGTAATTATTTAAAGAAGGTTCTGTTATATAAATTATGTGGTTCTATGCATACAGTTTGCAAAACTATGGAAATGCATATAGTTTGCAAAATTATTTTAGGATTTTAAATATGTACATTTTGTATTTTGTTAGTGTTAAATATTATCGAATACCTCTCATGGGTGACGTTTAGCATATACAACAAATTTTGTTTAACGGAAAAAAGAAATAGAATGAAAATCATGAGAGAAAAATACTAAGAATAAAAGAAAATAATTGATTTTTATATATTTCAATGTCAATATTTGTTACATTTCTAAACCAAATAAGACTCCAACATGTTTGTTTATTTTTATCTTTTTATTGATATAATAAATATCAATAATTTTCACGAACGTGTGCATTGTCAACAAGCTATCTGATCCGGCTTGATGCGATTTTCCAACGACCCGGTTCACATCGAGTGTATTAGCTATTTGATCGAGACCGCCATACAAATCTTTGCAATGATGTACCATATGTTTCACGTCATACACATTTCTAAAGATTCCTTTCAAGTGAAATAAAAAACGATCCAAAGTGTTTGGTAAATTTCTTCGCATCAAAATCTTCATTAAATAGCCGAAATCATATGCACCATGAAATGTGACCCAAAAAACCAAATTGTTGAAGACAAGCCCTGATCTCATCATCAATTCAGAGAAACGTAGTGAATTCACCCCATGATATAAATTATGCTTGAAGTCAATTCCCCGAAGACGTAACATATCAGTTGAATCTTGATTGTGTGGGTCATTTTCAATGTCAAAATCGGAAAAATTGAATTCCCAAATATAGCTGTTTTTGGTTCCAAACTTAGGGAGATTACCTTTCCAATCAGATAAAGTAAGACCAAGTTGAATGAGTTTAAGATCGTCAACATTGGCCTTTAAATACTTGTAGTCGTTTGAAGGATCTCGGCGGCGAAGGTGGTAAGGTACGGTGGAGTCTTCATGAGATTTATATATAACTCCGGGAAACTCTGTATCCATGGAAATGAAAGGAAACTTGTGTAGAATTCCACGAATGAGAAGAAACTCACTCTCTAGGTTGTAAGCCCAAACTTGACGAACTAAAACATTATTGTTTGATTGTTCTTCTCCTTTGAATTTGTTCATGTTGAAAGTTTTTGAAACTTTTCAAAGATTGTGAACAAGAGAAAAAGATTCAAGAACTCTTTAGTATATAAGAGTTTATTTAGGCGTGTGATTAGGTCAAACGATAGTGAGTGTTTATATAGTAGAGGTTAGTGGAATGTTTAAATGAATGGATATGATTTGATTTGGTTTGAAGGTATAGATATGCAGAGATTCTGACAAAATAATTAGGAGTTTGATTTTCAATTTATTCAACAAAAAAAAAATAGGGTCGGTTGATTTCTTTAAATCAATCAATGGGATAAGAATCTTAAAAGGAAATTTAGTGATTTATTAATAACTAACTCCCCTATATATAAGAATCAAAATATTCATTTATTAATTAGTTTTCTTAATTAATATGTGAAAAATGAAAGATGGCCTATACTATTACCATATTATTAGATTTATTTTTAAACTGACAATATTCTTCAACTCTATATTTGGTAATTGTTTTTGAAAAAAAAATTATTCTACAATTATTAGGAAACTTTTAGTTAAAAGATATGAAACATTAACTAGTATAATTTATAAAGTGGTAGAAAAAGATTTAAGAGATCTTGAGTTTTTTCTTCACTTATCTCATATGATTATGGATTGTGTTCTTTTCTATATATATAAAAAAATAAAAAGAGACACGTATTGATTTCAAAGCAATTATTTACGTTCTAATTCTCTTATATTTATATAATTTTGTTTCTGTATTATCAAAAATGTTTCATACTTTTTTTAATCATTTTTTAAGCTAACATAAATAGAATTTAAAAACAAAGAAATATAAAGAAAGGGATATAGAACCTGATCGAGTTGGTCTAAATAAAAGTGTAATCAACTCAAATGGGTAATACAAAAGACAAGAGAGTGTTCCAGTCTCTTCCGTTTGTCGGATCCACGCCAGAATTTCACTAGGGCAAACCTTCATTTAGACCTCCATCACTACCCAGACAAGAGATGTTTCCTGACTTTCAATTGCTACAAACTAATCTTAGTGTGTAGGAAGCAATTAATTTGTTGAGCAACGTTTACACCATGGTATAACAATAGAACTCTCAGGCCTTGGCAGAAAGTATATTCAAGATTGAAGAGATCTTGCCACATGCCAACCCAAAAAATAGTGTCATACAAGAGGCGACATCATGAAGGAACTAAGCTTCCATCTTTGGACCGAAACCATCCAGGGAGGTAACTCACCAAAAAGAGATTCATATATTTCCGAATCGTGGATGACACCATAGACAAATGACCCTTTCCCCTGATAACGAAAGGGAAAAGGTAGCCATCTCCTATGGAAGTCTGTCGGCCCTAGAGAGGGGAAAGATATTAAGAAGACGCTCCAATCCTAGAGTGAAAAAGAAACCCCCAGCCCACTCACATCCTCGAAAGTAGAATTATGAGATCACTAGAGAAACCACTGAAGCCTCAAAGTTATGATGGGGTGGGGATCTTGACAAACACGTGGAGCATATGTATGAGCATCTAGACTAATACCACACCTACAAGAATGTAAAGTGAAAGATCTTTACATTAACTTTGACTAGAACAATAATAGCTTGGTCCAAGCCCCTTCCTAATGGGAGAATTATTTCATGGATACAAGAACAAAACTCTCATTATTCATGTCTACTCTCATTATTTGATAAGCATAAGGTTAATTGTACACTTCTCACTTGAGGAGACTTTACGATTCTTGACTTACGTCAACAAGTCTTCTATAAACCGCAAAAAAATTGATAGAATTTGATAGAAATTGATAGATCTTTCTCTCTTGGACGGAGATTTGACACTAGAAATTGATAGAACTTTTTTTCAATTGGTCATAGACTAGCTGGACTACTGAGATTATCGTTGGTTGCATAAATTAGGCGAATGAGATCTTTATAGACATTGTTGAATCTATAATTTTCAACAGAAACACCTTCCTCTTCACATTATATTGTCTGACAAATAAGTGACAAGAAAGCTATTGACATAGAGCTAACTGGATTGACTCAACATCATGACCAAATGGCCCAACAGATGCATTTAACCAGAACTCTTTAACGAGATTAATGTAGATGGGTCCATTAAGAATGTCAAAGTAATCATTCAACTTTTGTATGCAAATAGTTTACCTTAGATCAAAACCTTTGTCTTTCAAATAATCGAAATCGACAAACTTTCATTGATTACGAACAAAAGTTTTTCATCTAAGGTTGTTGAAGACATTTTTGAAGAAAAGAAAAGACTTTGAAACTAGGTTTCAAGACACAAAGAGTTGGAAATGAGACGTTGAAACAAGGAATAATGTTCAAATAAAGTGGAGAGTAGAAAGTGAAACAATCAGATAAGCTCAAACGCTTTGAAAATCCAAAAGATACGTTAATTTTTGAATATGGATGATCATTGCTATTCTAGTGGATATGATTCCAATGCACGCCATGATTTATTTATTTTTTAGAAGTAGAAATCACATATTACCTCCATTTTTTAAAAACTTCAGGGGAAACAAATTTATGAAACTTTTTTTCTTTATTATAATTTTTTTGTAAACTAAATGATATATTTCGCCGGTTTCCTTAATAATCGAGGTATAAGATACATAACATTTGACTATAAAAGCACTCGTTAGAAATATTTTACCCTAATCCAAATTTATATGTACCTGCTCCAAACTCGTTAGAGGTAGAAACCACATCATTCTTTTAGAATTCATCTCACAAAATTGTGTATAATATTGTTGTGTTTAGAAGCTTGTAAAAGTTTTCTATAATAGATTGCAAGTTCAGATGCATTCAATACTGGGAACAAATAACTTCTAAAAATTAGGTGCGTGAAATATTTAAATCAAATAACTATTGAAAATTTATCATGACTGTTGTGCCTAAAAAATTGATATATAAGAATCAGAATTTTCATTTATTAATTTGTTTTCTTAATTAATGTGTGAAAAATGAAAGTGCAGGCCTATATTATTACCATATTATTAAATTTATTTTTAAACAATATTTTATTTTTATTTTTAAACTGAAAATATTCTTCAACTATATATTTCGTAATTGTTTTTGAAAAAAAAAAATATTCCACAATTATTAGGAAACTTTTAGTTAAAACATATGAAACATTAACTAGTATAATTTATAAAGTGGTAAAAAAAGATTCAGAGATCTTGGGTTTTATCTTCAGTTATGTCATATGATTATGGATTGTGTTCTTTTTTTATAAAAAAGAGAAATGTATTGATTTAAAAGAAACTACTTACATTCTAATTCTCTTATATTTATATAATTCTATTACTGTATTATCATAAATTTTTATACTTTTTTTAATCATTTCTTAAGCAAACATAAATAGAATATAAAAAATAAAAATCTAAAGAAAGGGATATAGAACCTGATCAAGTTGGTCTAAATAAAAGTGTAATTTATTAAAAGTAATTCATATTTATTAGTTGTACTATTTTCTTAGCCCCTAAGTTTATTAGAGGGTATTTTAGTATTTTTTTATCTTATTCTAGTAACCCTAGTTTTAGTTTATAAATAGGGTAGCAATCATTGCAATTTGTGTGTGTGTAACCGTCATTCTCTTAATAGAATATTTCTCAATTCATCATTTATTCTACCTTTGCACCAACAATTGGTATCTAGAGCTCCGGTTCAGATTCATTGAGAAACACGGGAAACACGAGTGAACGTGAGGTCTTGTGTGTTTGATTTTGATTCTTAGATTCGTGTTAAATCTTCAACAAAATCTGATCAGAATTTTAATTCTGTGGGTTGGGAAACAATGTGTGAGAAATTTGAGTGTACTGTGCAAGGTAGAAGATGAACGAAAACGGCAACATGAACACCAAACTTCCAGTATTTGACGGTAAAAACTGGAATCGTTGGATGATCCAAATGCGTGTGTTGTTCGGTGCTCAAGATGTTCTAGATCTTGTCACTGATGGTTATGTTTCAGTAGCAGCAAATGCAACAGATGAACAGAAAAACGCGCAGAAGGAAGTAAGGAAGAAGGATCAGAAAGCATTGTTCTTCATTCATCAATTTGTGGATGTAAATGTGTTTGAGAAGATTGCAGATTCAACAACAGCAAAGACTGTGTGGGACACATTGGTGAGATGTTATGGTGGTGACGCATCAGTGAAGAAGGTGAAGCTTCAGTCCTTGAGAAAGCAATATGAGAATCTCAACATGAAGAATAATGAGAAAGTCTCTGAATACATCTCCAGAATGATTCTGATCACTAATGAGATGAAGGCGTGTGGAGAAACTCTTTCTGAAGAAGCAATCATGGAGAAAGTATTGAGATCCCTTACCTCTCAATTTGATTACATTGTGGTAGTAATAGAACATTCCAAAGATTTGAGCACCATGAAAATTGAAGAGCTGCAGAGCAGTCTAGAAGCGCAAGAGTTGTGTTTGACTGAGAGAACCTCTGAAAAGGAAGTAGAGCAGCAGGCTCTGAAAGCAACTTCTGATAAGAGGTATCAGAAGCAGTCAGAAGCCAGGAGAAGATCGGATGGTGGTCAGAAGTCAGAAAGCTCAACCTCTGATAGACAAAAGAATGCTCAGAAGGGAAAAGAGAAGTATGACAAGAAGAAGATCCAATGTTACTGTTCTAAGAAGTTTGGTCACTTTGCTAGAGATTGTTGGTCAAACAAGGAGAGAAAATCAGAAGAAGCAAATATAGCCAGAAGTTCTGATGACGAATCTGTGCTATTGATGGCCTCTGAATCTGATAATATGGATCTGATAGACTGGTGGTATATGGACACTGGGTGTTCAAATCACCTTACTGGAAACAAGAAATGGCTGGTTGACTTTGACTCTGAAAAGAGAACAAAGATCAGATGTGCTGATGACAAATATCTTAATGCAGAAGGTACGGGAAATGTCAGAGTGATTCTGAACAATGGGAAAACAACATTGATTCAGAACGTGTGGTATGTACCTGGCATCAGAAGCAATCTGATGAGTGTGAGACAATTAATTGAGAAAGGTTTT